ATCCAAATAAAGACTTTTTAATTGATTTGTAGCGCATGTTAACCCAGTCTTTGGAGCAATCAGGGCTACTTATCCTAAGTATGAAGCAATGCAGCTAAACCTGCAAGGAAGCGATAGAGTGGACTCCTTTCTTTAAAACCCAAATTGAAGCCCCCAAAAATACTGTCTTTAAAGAAACCTATTCTTATAGAAAAAAAAGAGCATTAGAATACTGTGGGAAACAGGGAGGTGAGCACAGGCAGTGAAAGAAATGCAACAGTAACATCTTACAGTGCTTGGCCTTTGCAAAACAAGATGGAACACTTTTGGAGAGACAAAAATCCAGATGGGAGAAACAACAAAATGAGAACCCACTTGAAGCAGGTGTAGCCTTGCTACTGACAAAGCCAGATGGAATGGGAACCTGTGTCTGATCACATTGTTAGAGGCATAGAAATGAAGAGGGAAGCAAGGGGAAATGAATAAGAATGGAGAACTCTTCACAAACTTTATTGCCTCAAACCATAGGTGCAAACTTTTCCCCAGCGAAATTGTCATATAGCCTGGATTTGACCAGATCATCATACTGAAAACCAGATTGATCATGTCACAGCACGGCGTCACTGGAGGGCCTCACTTCAGATGTGAAAACAAAACAAGGAGACTACATTAGATCACCACCTGGTTGTTGCTAAACTGAAGATAAGCTACAGGCAAAGAAGAGGCAACAAGAAATATATTTACAAATAAAGTTTAATGTAAGTAAACTCCAGTCACAAGATAGCAGAAAAACCTTTCAGATCACCCTTAAAAACCGGTTGGAAGCTCTACAGATGAAAAAAAAAAAAATTTTTATTTTAATAGAACACACCTGGAAAATATTCAAGCAAGCCTGTGAATGAAAGGTCTTATATAGATGAGATAGTCCCACTTAGAATCATCATAGAACAAATGATAGAATGGCAAACCCCACTTTACATCTAATTTGTTGTCATAGAGAAGGCCTCTGATAGCGTGGTTAGGCAAACAATTTGGAATCTGTTTAGGCATTATGTTGAACCAGAAAAGTTAGTGGTAATAATTCAGATTACACAGGGATTTTCATGCCAAGTTAGCCAAGCTGGGAAACTGTCTGAAGAGTTCCAGATCACCAAATCCGTTAGACAAGGATATATATAGTTGTCTTATCCTGGTGGTTCTCAATTGGGTCACTCATATGGCCTGGTGGATAAAGTATGCAGAGGACATTCATTGGGAATAATATGGCCTGGTGGATAAAGTATGCAGAGGACATTCATTGGGAATAATATGGCCTGGTGGATAAAGTATGCAGAGGACATTCATTGGGAATCATATGGCCTGGTGGATAAAGTATGCAGAGGACATTCATTGGGAATCATATGGCCTGGTGGATAAAGTATGCAGAGGACATTCAATGGGAATAATATGGCCTGGTGGATAAAGTATGCAGAGGACATTCATTGGGAATCATATGGCCTGGTGGATAAAGTATGCAGAGGACATTCAATGGGAATCTTGAGGATCTAGAGTTTGTGCATGCAAGTGAATGCATTTGGAGCTATCTCAAAGCACCTAGGTCTTAAGATCAACAAAGAAAAGATAGAAGTAATGAGTACCAACAATAATGAGATCTCCCAGTAACAATAGAAGGAAGACATGTAAAAGATGTGGAGGAATTTTTCTAGCAAGATCAGCCAATCAGCACAGAGGAAGACATCCAACACAACAAAATTCAGGATTCTAAATTCAAATGTACGAGCGATTTTAGCTAAATGGAGCAAAGACATGGAGAGCCTCCATGATCTGCACCAACAAGGTACAGATCTTCATTAATAACAGTCTCAGACAGAAAGAGGAAATGGTGCTTTAGTGTAACCCTAAGGGAATACATACCTGTATGTAGGTCAAGTGTATGTAGTGTCCATTTTAATAACAAAGAATGTGAATTTTCTGCTGATTTTTTAATTTTTTTCAGAATTCAAATGTTCTGTCTGGATTTTTTTGTTTGCTGATTTAAAAAAAAAAATATTTCCACAATAAAAAAAAATTATTTTTTAAACTCATGGGAAAGTATTCTCAATTGTTGCCGTTCCTTGAAAGAAACTTAGCTGACATTTCCTGAACCCAGTTTCTTTTGCATACGTGGTAGTCTCCCCTCCTACTCCATTTATACAATATCCTGCTGTTTTCCATTTGATTTTAGGACCTCAGTTCTAAAAGGTTTATAAAAGTTGGCTAGATTGGTTAAGATGACAATCTCCTTCCCCTCCTTGTAGCAACTGTTATTGATTTCTAAGCTTATGTGAACTCACTATGACCCCAAATCCTGTAAACTCTATAGGCCTGAAGATTTCTAAATTAATCTGAACTCTAGTGACCCCTCTAGCGTATCTTGTTTTGGCAGTATTAGGGGAAAAATACAAAACTAGCTAAACTTCCTAAAACATAAATAATAATATCTAAATGATACATTATTGGCTCAATTTTTTATCAGCCTAATAATTAAAATATTAAAATATTTATAACACCATATGTATTTGAAAATAGAAAGTAGGCCCTATCCTATTTTAGATATTCTGGCCAATCTCATTGTCCAGCCCATGAACTAAAAAGTTAAGATTACAATCAGACTTGTTGAATATAGAAGCAAATTGAAAACATAAGTGTTGAAAAAGTAATTTTTAATTTCTATTTTTGTTACATTCACATTTTTAAATTTTAAAAAAAAAACTGTTTTACAAGTAAAAAGGACTTAGAGTGTTATTTTAGAGTAACAGAAACCACTTTTATTTAAGACAAGCTGACCTGCTGGGCTATTTAGTTGTTTTATTTTCTACTTTTCAGTACTTCATAGTTAGTGAATTCAACACTACCCTCCCTTCCATTTCCCCCCCCCCCCCCACCACCACCCTGCCACAGTGAAAGCAGGCATCCACGATGTCAATTTACGGTCGACAATGAAAAGATCAAGCAGAACTTCTTACCTTTCCGTAGTTTCAATCAAATGGTTTAAAAGCTAAACTATCTGCCTGTAATAGCCGTTTTTAATTCGAGCCGGCTCTATGATTGTAAACATTTGGGGTGAACTTTAGCTCACTAGAAAGGTGGGGGTGGTAGCTATATGCCTTGAGAGCGGGTGAGTAACAGCGTGCGTTTACGTGGCGTCTTGAATGGTCCCCATTAAAAGAATTATATGTATAGACACTAACTATATTAAGCTATTAATTATTATAGTATTGCTGTGTGTACTAATGTATATAATTCAGTGACAATTCTTATTAGGAACTTGCACACAGAATGAATTAAATCTTGATGCTGATGGTAGGGAGAAGGGTAGTTCAAAGTTATATGTAGTACTATTCAAGCAAAACAGTATAAATGGTTATTACCGACATTTGGCCTCTTTCATTACATTGCAGAAAGGCATCTGTACTTAAAGAAGTCAGATTGATGCTCGGCAAAAAGCTTGCAAAGACATGTTAGTGTCATGTTTGTGTTGATCTTGCAATTAAAACACTGATTTAACGTTATGAATCTAAAGCCCCAATCACCTTTTTGAAAAATATTTCAGATGTTTTGAACATTCAATTTGTATAACATTATTTTATTTCTAATACATTTTTATGTCGTCTACATTACACGTTAAGGTATAATTTTTCTTCTATTTACATTTTCAAATTAAATGTTATTTAAAATCAATAAATAAAGATAATTTTTTTCTGCTTAAGTTATACTAATTCATTTTAGTATATTTTACCATAATTTTTTTTAAAAGTAAATAAAAAGTATATGACAGATCAATAAAATAATTGTTCAAATTGACTAACAACATCCTAAATGCTACCTATAAATATTATTTATATATATATTTAATATACATAGATTAAATAAATGTATATAAATGTTAAAAAACTAAGCTATTCGCAAATTAATACGTGATTTTGATACTGTATAATGGGTCGGAGTAGTCAAGTTGGTAAAGCTCATGGTTTCTAAACCGAAAAGTCTCGAGTTCGAACCCTCGGGCAGATGAGGCTCGTTAGCTAGGGACAGTCACTCTTCTTGGAGAGACAACTCCAAAATCAAGCAACTGCTGCCTTATAGATTGTTTTTGGTTGGACAAAGGCTATGGAAGCAAATCCAAAAAGAGAAGCAGGCAGAAATCAGAGTCAATGGCCTCAATGGCGTATAACCAGTTGACACATATGCTTAATTGTGTTGGAGCCGTGGTCGAGTCAACTAAGCTCATGGTTGTTTAATTTAAAAAGTCTGAAGTTCAAACCCTCTGGCAGATAAATATATATATATTATATATAATATATATATTAAATATATAGAATATTTATATATTTATCGTTTATATTTTTTTATATCTATTATATATATATATATATATTTATATATAGGCTTATATATAGATATATTTATACACCAAAATATGTGTATATATATATACATATATTTATATACATATATATTTATATACATATATATTTGTACACATACATATTTGTACACATACATATTTGTACACATACATATTTGTACACATACATATTTGTGCACATACATTTTGGTGCACATACATATTTATTCACATACATATTTGTGCACATACATATGTGTGCACATACATATGTGTGCACATACATATGTGTGCACATACATATGTGTGCACATACATATGTGTGCACATACATATGTGTGCACATACATATGTGTGCACATACATGTCTGTGCACATACATGTATTTGTATGTACACATGTATGTATGTACACATAGATGTATGTATACGTATATGTATGTATACATATATGTATATACACATATATATCTTTATGTACATATATGTATATATTCATTGATATTTATATACATATATGTATATATTCATTTATACACATATATATACATTTATATCCATACATATATTTATTTATTTTATTTTTATTTATTTATATATTTATACATTTATATTTACTCAACTCTTTTATATAGGCTCTTCATAGACCACATTCCACTATTGGATTTATGCATAATCCAAGAAATTCTCCGTCGGATGAAGAGGGTGCATGTTTAGCTCCGACCTCTAGCAAAGAAGAAGATAATTTGTAAGTTGCAAAGCTTTTGTGGCAAAAAATTGAAATAAAGTATTCAGTTTTATAATATCAAGTTTGAAAAAATCACTTTGTTTAAATAAAGCTTAGGTTATAAAATATGTAAATTATTTCATGAATAACCAAAGCTTTTATGAAAGAAAGCAATTTAGTTTTATTTTCTTTAAAAGCTTGCTATTTGAAAGGTTTTTTTTTTTTTTTTGTTTTTTTTAAATGAACATACAAGTCATTTTTTTAGTGATTCCTAGACCTAATTTATGTAATAAAGAATAATTGCTTTAAACGCCATCATTAGATCGCGAAATTTAAAAGAGCAGCTGCTTATAAAAAGGAAAGTAAGCTTAATGATTGAAAATACATTTCTTTTGTGTAAGTATCCATATAAAACCTTTCTAAATTTTTATTTAAGAAGTCCCAATGATGATTTACTACTTCCATTTGCAAGAGAAGGCTTTGGCAGACAGAGTATGTCTGAAAAACGAAAAGGCCATTTAGACCCACGTTCTACTGAAATATACAAACTCGCTAAAGCTGGCAAAGAAAACAAAGGTAATTACACTTTATATTAATATATATACATATATATGAATATATATACTAGCAAGCCCGTTGAAATATTTTAAGAGTGTTTCATCAATGTGTTACCAATCCTATGTCCATAGTCCATAGATGAGTGACCTTTTCTCTAAAACTGAGTTTTATATTTCTTAGATCATGTTTGTAGGGGCACACACTACCACAGAGCATGCTATGCTGTGTGAAAGCCTTGAGTGTACATTAATAATGGGATAGAACACACCTCGACCACCCCACCCCCAAGCCCCCCCCCCCCCCCCCCCCCCAAAGCCTTAGCAATTTGAATGTTGAATTTTGAGTAAAAATGCAAAATAGAGAAAACGTGAAAAGAAGGGCGGAAAAAGGCACTGCGTTTCCTCTTATAGAAAAACAGAAAAAGACTTCTTGTTATGTGTGGAGGAACCATTTGACTAATAAAGTCAACATTGACTTATGTTGTAAGATTTAGTGTTAATGTCAGAACAACTGTCATCAAACCAGATTAAGTTCTGTTTGTTAGCCAGTCTTCTCACTTCAATAAAATGTCTATCCCTACTTAAATTGTAGCTTACACAAGTTTATTGCCTATTGATTAATAGCCTACTACACATTCCTTGGTACAGTGCTTGAGGCAATACACCCCCCCCCCCCCACCTCACTCCTCCCTACTGCTGGATAGAATGAGCCATAGATTACGAATGTTTATTTAACCATGAATAACACATCCGTTTAGATAGGGTCGAGCACTATGTTTCTATAAAGGCCTTAAGTGAATGCTTATCAGCTTTCCCATCTAGTATTTACATTAGTTGCTAGCAAACCCCACAGGGATCGAAGGGCATACACATTAACACATGTGTCGTTTACAGTTCAATGTAAAGTCTGATGAACGCGTTCAAGCCTTTCACATAATGATGTAACAAGATTATAAACTGGCCGTTGGTTGAATAGAGAGTAGGGGAAAAAGGGGATGGACTTTGTACATTCTTAAAACTGACAGACATGTCCATGACGTATTGTTTCAGCTTAGTATAAAGCGTACTAAACAGTGTTAAATAGTGTTCCAATGACAATCAACAGTACTCTTCTTGGCAAAGTTGCAATTATTGTTTATCTAGAAACAAGATGGCTGCCTAGCACTCGTGGTTAGTTGCAACCTATCGTGAATTATTTTGATTTACTGTACTATAATATGATTGGTCAAGCGTATCAATGCATCTCTTCCCATTCATTATTTTTATGCGCATGCCTTTTGTCACAATGTTTTTGTGTGACTGGGTTCACGATATAAATTTCCCACAGGCCTTCTCCTACCTTTCATCTATCACATACGAAATCACAAGACGAGCCTTCTTTTACGTTCTATATACATTTATTTTGTCTTCACATAGACAGCGTGTACAGCCAACTTACGCCATGTTCTTCTTTTTTTCTACGCATGCGCACCGCTACCGTCCTTTTCTGATGCAATCTCAAAAACACACTCCCAAGCTACGATACAACAATGTTTCACTGTTATACGCCCTTTCTCCCGTTTAAAAAAAAATTAATTTATTAATTATTTTTTTTTTTTTGTTATATAGATCACATTCACCATAAAATCTTCATGATAACATAACAGTGAAACAAAAATCATGTGGAAAAAGAACTTGTTAATGAACATCCTAAATTATTTTATATGTACACTTTTTTAAATTAAATGAGAACTATCAATAAGCCAATACTATATCCCATAGAGGAGTATTTCCCATGAACCCCTAAAACAACAACCAGGTACTCGGCACAACCTCGAGATACCCAAAAATACAACGGACTGCATCCTCAGTCTCGCAAAACAAAATCAACTATTTAGCAATGAAGATCAATTATCTCCACAAAACAACACTAAGCTAATGGGTTCATTATCCAACCAAGAAAATAAAACCTCTTATGGTGTAATAATTTAGCACATTGTACATTAGATATAACGATATAACTTAATCACATATTTCACTTGCCATAACAACTAATGGTGCATGACGACGCCCAACCAACTATCAGTATACAAATATAATATCCAATGGAGGACAATTTTCCATGACCCCGGGACAAACAAAATATCTCGGCAAACCATCGAGATCCAAAAAACCATAATCAATATCCCTCAAATAACTATGTTACGTATCAACCAGACAGCATCCAGCATGAATGGGTGACTACGACAATACAACTACTCTACAAGGGAAACAGGGAAAATACTGGGTCCAACCATCAAATCAGAAAATATATCCTCAATTGATATCACATCCAATAAACCATCGAGTTCCTAAACCTAGCAATAAGAAAGTAACAAATTACTTATAGTCAATACATGGCAAAGTGTAAAGAAAAATTGTAACTTAGGTAAACCTTCCTAGTTTAATAAGAACAAATGACTCTAACTAAGGAATATCTCCTCTTAGTGTAACAAACAAAAATCATTAAACCTCACTAAGGAATATTGCCTCTTAGTGCATCTCAAATAAATCTAACTAAGGAAAACTTTCTCCTATTAGAACAAAATCATAGCTATGTAATAGCTCCCATGGGCAAATCATATCCTTGATTTCCCTACTTCAATGGTTGAGGTCAACTCCTCATCATAATATATGTAAATTACCACATCTTATTACATATAATTACCACATCTGTCAGGTCATACTGCCATAATCATGTTCATTACTTAACAAGATATACAGTATACATACAAATCATAAAATACAATAAAATGTATGTTCATTTTCATTACTAAATTAAAATAGTGGTAGAACATATTTATACAAGTCATGTTATGACTTATTCCTATCTTGCTCACATTTTTAAAATGTTAATGTTCTCTGGAAGTACACATCACATACTACATTATTCAAAATTTCCTTATAAGAATTGGCTGATATGTCTCAGGTCATTATTTTCTTTAGTCAGTTCCATGTTTGTTTTTTCATCTTCAATCTGTCTTGATAAAAAAATTTAGCTAGTGTATTGTGCAGTCCCTTTACAGGTTAGCTTTTCTTGACATAATGTTATTAGACAAATCCATTTTCCTTATGAAAGCAATATTTACTAAGTCAAAATTCCAAACACATAGTTAAGCTCTGTAAATTGAATACAGCTTTAAACAACAATAGAATCCACTAGCATTACTATATAAAGTGCTAAAGAAATACACAACTGTTATGTTCATAAACATCAGTTAACAAAATACAAGGTCCAATAACAAACTAAACAGTTGTTAACACATTATGATGACAAACTCCATGCTTTACTTTAAATGGTTTTCCACCTTACATATTTAAAAAAAAAAAAAATCAACAACATGTGAAGTAATGTATGTTAGTAGTCCTCAGTGGTGGTAGCTATACCTTATATCACTGATGCTTAAGTACCAATGCACACCACATAAAAATAACAGGTTTTGTTAGCCAAAAAGGAATGTGTACAGCCAATCAATGAAATAAATTTTTTAAACTGTTGAGGTTGGTGATACAACTACAGTGGTTAAAATTTGTATTGTTACATCCACTAAACCAGGTTATATATGCATGATAACTGATGTTACATATTAAAACATGAAAGTGAAATCTTAAAGGAGTAGTAAGTTCAGCATATTTATCCACAAAATATTATAAAAATTGCATAGTCCAACCAATGATTTCACTTCTTTCTTTGTAGTAGGGGTTTTGATATTTAATGTTTTGTCCTTATTTCCTTCAGTAGGTCTAATTTCTTTATTTCCAACCTTAAATTCTAGGAAGTCTACTGTATGTACTCCCACATGCAGTTTCTCTGGTGCTATGGTAAACACATGTTTTCTAAGTCTTTCTAGTATTTCTTTTAGTGTATCTATGTGTTCTGCCCATGTGTTATTATGTATGCATATATCATCAACAAAGAAGACCAGGTTTTTCATTCCCTCTGTCATTTTATTCATGAATTTTTGGAATGTGGCAGTACTGTTCACAAGTCTGAATGACATCACCTTCCATTGACATAGACCCTTGCCTGATGTAAAGGCAGTGTATTGTCTTGACTCCTTTTTCAGTCCTATTTGCCAGAAGCTTCTGTTTAAATCACAAGTGGTAAAAATTAAGGATTTACTGATAGTTTCTAAAATGTCTTTAGGATCATCCATGGGTGCAGCATCTATCTTAGTCCTTTTATTCAATTCTCGATAGTCACAACATATCCTTACTTTGTTTTTCTTTTTTCTTACTATCACCATGGGTGATGAGTATGCTGATTCTGTTCTTTCTATTTGCCCAGACTCAAGTAGAAAATCCAGTTCTGCTTCAACAGCTTCTCTATAAGCAACTGGTACTTTGTAATGCTTCCCTTTCATAGCACTATGATCAGTCAATTCTATTTTGTGTTGAATTGTTTCAGTAAAACCCATTTCTGTTGTAATATCATCCTTGTATTCATTTATCATTTTGTCCATTATGTTTTTCTCCTTCACTGGGATATGATAAGTATTAATTTCTTGTGTATTACAGCTTTCACTCATTATAGTACAGGCCATATGTTCCTCTTCTATCAGTTTCTCTGGCTCTACATATAATTTCTTCATTCTGTCCATGTGTATAGGAGTGTTATTTCCCTTTATGTTTATTTCATCATTTACATCAGATAGTTTCTTGATTACTTCAAAAGGTCCTTGAAATGCTTCTATGTTTTCTCTGTCTGGCAGTTTGACAAAAACTAAATCTCTTCTTTCACAAGTTCTTAAATAGCTATGTTTGTTTTTAATATTTCTGTGCCTTTCATTGGCTACCTGTGCATTCTCTTGGGCTGTCTGGACACCATCAACTATTGTCTCTTTAATCTGGTTTACTAGTCCATGAGGATCAAATTCCTCTTCATGTTTATTTAATAATTCAAGTTCAAAAGGAGAAAAACCTGTTGACTCATGTTTAGTTTCTCTGTTTGCGAATAGTACTTGAGATTGGTTACTTTTACTTTGTTCTAACTCTAACTCA